TGCTTGCGAGGGGATGCCGCGCAGCTGGCCAGTGATGTCACCAGCCATTCAGCCGCGGCGGCCTTTTCGAACGGGGCGATTCCGAAGTTCCCGCATATAAATTGATTTATCACAATATTTTCGAACCAAATGCAGTGGGATACAGCAAACTTTCAAAAATACGACCTCGACGGGACCTCGAAATTTGGTCGAATTATCCGAATGATTGAATTAAAAAAGGGCAGAAAAACGGTTCAAATTAAACTTCCTTTTATTATCCAAAGTACCTAGAGATGGTCTGCTGCCATCTGCGCTTAGAACGCGTGTCTAAAAGCATGCTCCGGAGAACAGCGTAACTAAACGTCATGACCCCAAGAAATCGTGCGCTACAAAAAAAAAAGAAAAAACGAAAAGAAGAAGTTTTACAAGCCGACTTTGACGCCAAGCAGCCAGACCGTCGGGGACAAATAAAAAAAAAAAAAGCAAAAGAGAAATTTGCGCTTTCTGACGTGTAAGCTGGAAAGCTGGACCGCACACAATGCTACAGAAAAGCACTTTGAGAGCGCGCTGAGGAAGCTTTACGAGCGAGCGAATTTGGCGCCGGGCGGCCAAACCGTCAGCGCCAGAGGAAAAATAACAACAAAAGAAAGGAAAAGAGAGCTCGCGCTTTCCGGCGCATGAAATGGACCGCACACGATGCTACAGAAGAGCGCTTAGAGAGCACGCCCTGTCTACGCGCCCGACCACATGCTGTGTTCTCCGCACTACTCCACGCTAGATTGGTTGCCCTGGCTCGTGTCATTTGCTATGGTCCATCTCAACGGCATAAAGGAGCAAGGGCATATTTGCGCACGTTCGGCTTTGCAGCAAGGGGCCCGTGTTTCACCGTACGTTACTGCTTTTTCTGCCGTGGTGCCCTGTAACGTGAGCCCGCGCGCATTCGCTCGGGACGAATTATCCGATGCGGAGTCTTCCCGAGTTCAAACTGTCAAACTTGTCCTCCCATAGAAATGTACGGGCGCTTGCCGGGACCTTTGAACACGATCGAATTAAACGAAAAGTCGAATTAACCGAAGTCGAACTAACGAACGTTTACTGTAATAGGAACATACAATGGGTCCGAGCAGTATAGTTATCTCATCTCTTATTTTTGCTATGTGCTGATTTCCTTTAAGAAATACAATTTTAAGCTGCCCAAAAATTGGGCTTTCATTTCGGTCGCATCTCCACAACGCATCACGGAACCCACTTGTGCAGCAAAATGCTTGTTTTTCTGGATTCGCCGAATGCAGGGTCAACTGTACTTGAATGCAACCGAAATGGAACCTTCGGGTTGTCTGCACGTTGTGTGTGTGCCTGGCGTCAACAGTGAACCCCCCGCAAAGCTTTTTGGTTGCTCTTGATACGCCGTATTTTCGTTACTATAATTTGCACCTGGTGCAATAATCCGCAGCAACAAATATTGGTTGAAAAAAAAAAAAGCTATTTTTCTTAAAGGGACACTAAAATTTTAGAAATTAACATCTTTTTAAGTGTTTTTGGAGCACCTCTTTTTTTCCTTTTAAATTTCAACAACAATTTAAAGAAAATTTTGTGAAATATTTACGTTGTTTTACGCAATTTAGGTGAAGGTAGCTCACCCTAACCCCTGCCCAGGAGCGTCGCCAGCTACACTCCACTTCTCAGCTTTCATTGGTTGGACGTGAGGAATGTTTGTTGTAAATCTGTTTCCCCGTGCCTTGGTAGTCTTTTATTCTACATTTTCTTCTTTTGTTTGGGAACCAAACTTGTATACAGATAGTCAATATTGTTTTCAAGAATAAAACGAAATCGTCTATCCCGCTTTGGTTTCAAACGATAATGAACGTGGCTGCCAGCGTTTGCGGCGAGCAGTTTCTCACACCTCATAACTTTTTGAGCTGGCCTGTTTTTATGAGTCAGAGTCATTTCGCGTTCACAGACTTGTTTAGCGGAAGATATCCTCAACCGATGTAGTTTGCAGCAAACAACTGTCGCAGGTACACGTCTTCAGAAGCGCTGTGCCAGTACTTGCTTTCGTAGCGAGACTGGTGTAAAACTATTTTGCTTGATCTGGCTCGATTTGTTAGCGTTTGAATGCTGTATCAATGTGCTGATTCCCGTAAAAGCGGCTTTGCTACTCTGAGAATCGTGCAGCTGTCGTGACTGCGACCACGGTTTCAGTACTGAGACACAACCTACGCAGGTAAGAATTTGCGAGCCATTTGGTCAGAACAAATCTTGTGTTTGCCTCAAGTCAGGTTTGTCCAAGTGTGTTTCCGTCATTTGTTTAATTTTTTTATTTAGTACATACTGCCTACCTTGGGGTCTAAGCGGGGTGGGTGAAAGGATGGATCGCAGTACACAAACAATAATAAACATGGAAAAGTAAAGAAATAAAGAAAACTTCTGCGTAGAAACACACACATTAAAAATATACATATATATCAATACCTACAATATCACATCCCATTTGCATAGTAATAACAATAACGCATGTTCTTCCTTTTTTTTTTTTTTTGGAATAATATGGAAGTTTTACATAATAAGAGGGCCACACTCATACTACAAAGCTCCGAGGCTCACTCGAACAGGAATGATTCTAAAGATGATGAATTGGGGAAGGAAACAACTCCAAGGGCAATGAATTCCAACCGGTTATTGTCCGTGGAAAGTATGAAAACGTAAATATATTAGTATGCGCGAAATGGGTGTTAAGGAGTAACATTGGTTGTGTCTTGTTGATCTGGTTGAAAGCTGACTGACGTATAAACAAGGACTAAGAGAAACCTTGGAATTGACAAGCTGATGAAGGAAATTTAAATGGGAAATTTAATGCCGGTGCTTTTTATTTGTCTGCATTAGCAGTGATGGGGAATCTGTGCGTTTTAATGTTGTTTTTTTTTTTGTAAATGGATCCCAGACTACGGAACAGTATTTGAGCTTCGGTTAAATGAGGGAAATGTAGGCTAACAATTTAACATTTGTTTCGGAAGGCCCTTAGCTCTCAAGTTTTAAACAGTGCACCTGGCTTGGTAGAGCTAATATTTTTAGGTCCCGTTTTAATTGTCTGTCGTGATGCTCACCCACTTTGCTCACAGACACCATGCAAGAAAGCAACGTGAACAGAAAAGCTGCAATGACTGCATATTTGATTTGTTCATTTTTTCGTGTTTTTTTTGTTGCACATTGACAGACACTTCTTTTGGACGATGGCTCATGCACGATGAAATGCTAGAACAATGTTTCATGGTCCCATTTTGCAGCATAGCAGACTGATTTAGATGGGAGCAGAATAGCAGACTGACGTAGCTGAAAACGGACACTGACACGCGGCTTTAATAACCGCGTCTTATGGGCATTGCAGACGGCAATAGACGGTGGTGCAATGGTAGACGACACCGTATGCTGCCACCTGTCTAACCACTTGACTAGCAGACAATGTCAGACGGCAGACTAGATGCACCAAACGTCGCGCCAGGCACACATTAGGCTTGCAGACATGTTCAGGCGAGCCAATCGAGTGGTAATGGGTGGGACCACCAGTTTTTGGGCAAAGACTGAAGCGGGTGGCAAACTCCACCTAAATTGGGCCTGATATTGTATATATTGCAAAAAATAAAAAATAAAAAAATTGGATAAAAAAAAAGTCCTATATAAACCTTTAAAAAGAATGTTATTTTTTGGTGCATCGTGCACATTTGTTGCCTAGTCTGCAAGTAAAAATTTTCATACACAGCAAATGTACACACATGCTTGATTTATTAGCTCACAAAGAATCTGTTATCATACATTATTACCATATTCTGTTCTTCACAAAATCTGTCAAGTATCGTCATAATAAACAATCTAGAAAAAACAAATTCATGTATAAAGTGGCTCGGCAACGTCTTCGTCCAAATGGGCTTGGTGGTCGGGCGTGTCGTACGGAACGAATCCCCATTCTTTTGAGCAGTCCGAAATTTCTCTTTCGAAGGAAGACAGATTCGCCGGTATCACGAACGACAGTTCTTATGTAGACGTCCCATGTCCGTCGTCCGCTGCCGTCGCCGTCCAGCCCGTAGTTCCCACGATATGTGATACGACATGTTGAGAATTACGCAGTGAACACACAAAATGCTTTTAATTCTCTGTGCAACTTTCTTTTTTTCAGTCAGCGTATTTGCAGATTAAATGAAGCCGCAAAAATGGGTTTCATATTTTTTTCTATTTTTAATGTTGATTGGGTGCCTTCAATGACCCACGACTTTGATTAAATTCAGTGGTCATGTCTAAACCTTAAGAATCGACGCGTGACCACGGAGAAGAGAGTGAGTGCGACTCAAAGCAGCCAGTTCTCGATCGGCAGTTTTCGAGCAGAAAGAAGCCGAACTTCGAGTCGTGATTTCTGTTCCTGGTAGTTGGGCTGTCATATGTCATGTACAACTAAAAACCTCGGCGAGCATAAATACCCTGTCAGTGTCCCTTTAAACGAGGAGTTTTTGCTGTAGCGACAGACGGCAGCAATGATAGCGAGACCCAGTTGTATTTCACTAGCATGAGCAGTGCAATACAAATATAATGACGTTATCTTCATGTCAATTCATTGTCAATATTTCTTTTAACCCCCCCCCCCCCCCCTCTCCCGTCTTAGAAAATCTTCCGGATTTGGTTTCTCCAAACTTGGCGGATAAATAGTCCGCAACTGTAGACAGTATGCTGCGCTTAAATTTTCAACTTTCAAACGTGTAGTCTGCCGACGACAGCTTGGTAGGTACGGTAATTATATCCACTGGCCATGTTAGCAGTAGTGCCGTTCTGTGTACCATACGACGGCATTTGCTCGCGGTCGTTTCAGACTGGTTGTCGTCCATCGCGTTCAGATCGACAAACGGAGGGAAGGCCAGTGAACGTGCCAATGAAACGGTGCCGCGACGTGTTTTGCGAGAAGTTTTGCCCTTTAGTTTCCCGTTTGCCTCGATGTCTGGACAAAGCGTGCTTTCCGTTCCGCCTTGTGCACGCAGCACTGGGCAGCCGTGCCTGCCTGACGAGCCTGGAGCAGGTGCGGCAGGGGCCCTTCACACTGGAACATGCCCTCCCGAGCTACCGCTGGTCGTGGGAGGAAGCCAGTGCCACCTCTCGGAAGCTGGCCGACCTCTGGGGCCCCTGCATCGCCCAGGTCCGCCAGGAGATGGAACACCAGAGGGCGCTCTTCGAGGGACGCGCCAGGTACTACTAGTCACACCGCCAGCTCCTTTGTCCAATAAACATGTCCAGCCCACGTCTTCTGGGTACCCTTTGTTTGTGCCTCGATGCGGTCTTGAAACACGTACACCAGCCTGTCCATCTCCTGGCTGCCTTAAAGGAGTCAAGGTTCTGGTTTCTACCTCTGGAGTAGGAGGGAATGCGGGGAAGTGCGAGGAAATAGTCTCGGCTACATTGCAACAGAGCGACCCGGTGTTTTCTGTCCTTAACCCGTGGAAAAAATTGTTGCAGAATTAATGTAAGCTGCAGTTTCCAGCTGGAAATTAGGATTTCAAGCCACATTTTTGGCTCAATTATCTGGCACCAGATGGAAATGGGTGCTGCACACTGGCTGGAAATCAGTAATTCCAGCTGGAGCACCAGTTTTGCTAGCTTGGAAGTGCATGACCCAGCTGGAAGTTTCCCAGCCAGATAGGGAAAAATATCAAGTTGGCTGGAAAAGCCTATTTCCAGCCAGGGCAACTCCGTGCTCGAGATTAAGGGGGGGGGGTTACATAATAAAGCAACTGCCGTGATGCGATTGCTGTGCCAATTGCGCCAAGCTGCGCCAACGGGCTAACCCTGATACAGCCTGCTACATTTTGCTGAAATATGAGTTATCTGCGCCAAACCTGTGCCAAAGAGCAAATTTCGGTCGCTTTTCAAACCGAAACTAAACTGAGTACCGTAATTGAGCATGTACCTAGCAATTGAGCTAGGCAGCGCAAGCGGCCGCCCGACACAAAGTACCCTGCATCAATCGTCTATCCGTTCTTTCATGGTTTTTACCACCGTCTCTCGTTCCGCGCCCTCGTCGTCTCGTCCCGCGTCTTTAAAATTTTTGCAACATTAGATGCACTGGTTAGATGCAAGGGTGTGTGGAGGCTCCAACGCCAGCGTGCCGGGTACCAGCCATGCCGTCATGCTGTGAAACAAAACCACGTTTTTGCACGGCGGGGGTCAGTTTGTGAGCTGAAGCACTCACCCCTGAAAGCAACGGCAGTGGGAAAACTATATTTGGTCCCTGCCTACCAGTCATTGTGGTTGCCTGATGTCGGGTGTTGCCGTCCCCACGTCGCTGCTAATATGGCGCTTTCTAAGCTGAAACGTAAGGACCACCGCAAGGTAATCAACATTCTTGTTCTTGTTTAACTCACACTCTACTACAAAAATCTCCCTTTAACTCAGACTGCTGTGTCGAAGTATTGATTACCTAGATTCCTCTAGGTAGGTTTTCTCTTGAGAAAGGCCCCGGTACGTGAAAAGTCTGCCGCGAAAGAAAGTTGGTGAAGAGAAGTGAGCTAAAGCAATAAAAGGCAATGTCTGCTCGTTGAGCCTGCACAGCGCGCTTGTTTGTCTCGAATTCAGTAGTTGCACAAAGCGCTCCAAGAACTTTTTGGCCCTGACTCGTGATTTTTTGCATCGATGCCCTCAGGGTTCTTGTTCTCTGTGTGTTTAGCTTGTACCTGGCCTGCCGGCCTGGCAAGTACGCGCCGCTGAACTGTTCTTTGTCGTATGCTGGATCGTTGCATTTTGGGGAACCAGTTGGCTACAAAGCGGAGTGGCATAGTTTCAATCGAACAACCGTCTCCGCTCGCACGACAAAGCCCGTGCAATTGCAAGCTGCCGAAGTTGCCCTCACGCGCATGCAAACATGATTAGACGACAGAGGCACCATCCGGGACGCTTGCAATCCATTGCTTTACATTTGTTTGCTTTTGACGATAATATGGCTCGTCGGAAACCAGTAAAACAGTGGCAAATGGTTTTTCGGAATTGCTCGGCAACGCAGTGATGTGATTGCTGCGACAATTGCGCCAGGGTGCTAACACTGCTACATCCTGCTACATTTTGACAAACATGAGTAATCTGCGCCAAGCCTGCGCCAAAGGACCTATTTTGGTCGTTTTTGGAAACCGAAACTAAACTGAGTACCGTAATTGAGCATGCATGAGCGAGGTGCCGCATGCGGCCGTCGGACACAAAGTACCCTCCACTAATTGTCCATCCGGTCTTGCATGGTTTCCCCGCCATCTCGCGTTTCGCATTCTGGTCGCATGGAGACTAGAAGGGTAGGAGAGGACATGACGTCAGCCGCATAGCCTCCACAAGCCATGCTCGCTTGACGCCTCGCCTCTTTCACATTTTTCTCGGGTCCATATCACAAGAGCGAATGACATTTTAGCGAACGGCGACATTTGAGCGAATGGTCGTTTTAGCGAATAACGGGGGCGCGCGTTAACCCATCCGTCGCGCTGCGCTTTACGCCGCTTCGCGGCGACAGTCTGCGGCAACTCATTACAAAAATATGAACTCACTTGGCCCACCCGAAAACGCCGCTTCGCGGCGTCCGACTATTCGCTAAAGTGTCGTTCGATGAAACGTGGGCGTTCGCTAAAACGTCATTCGATCAAATGAGTGCCTCCCGAGAAACGAAACCACGTTTTTGCGCGGCGGGAGTTACTTTGTGAGCTGAAGCAACGGCTGTGGGAAAACTATATTTGGTCGCTGCCTTTCAGTCACCGTGGTCGCGCGACTTCGAATGTTGCCGTCCCCACATCACTGCAGATATGGTACTTTCTAAAATGGAACTAAGTACCGCCGCAGGTTCATCAACATTCCTGTTCTTGTTTAAAGCATACGTTACTATAAAAGTCCCTCTTTAACCGAGACAGCTGTGTTGAAGTATTGATTACCTAGGTTTCTCTCGGTGGGCTTTCTTACGAGAGGGACCCCGGTACCTGAGAAATCTGCCATGACAGAAAGGTGGTGAAGAGAAGTGAGCTGAAGCAAATCAAGCAATGTCTGCACGCTGAACCCGCACAGCGCGCTTGTTTGTCTCGAGTTAAAGGCCGCTGTACAAACGGGACGTTCTGCAGGGAAGAACCTTCTCTCCCGAAGCTGGAGACGGGGAGGGAAAGGGCCAGCGTTGGGTGGAAAGGGTGTCTAGAGAATGGGATTAGCCTCGGGGCGAGGGCATCCTCTCGAGAGGGAGTGGGGACGGAACATAGCTGCCGTGGGGGTTCCGGCTACCTGGTGGAAGATAAGCTTGTCAAACGGCGATCTCGGATGCGAGGACGGGCACGTCAGAGAATTTGAAAATAGCTGCTTGATTAGCTGGACGACCCAGTGCGGTCTACTGGCTCTAGAAGGTGACTCGGATGAAGAAAACTCGTTTTGCTCCAAAACTCTAAAAGCATTCTGGAACGTGAAGTCTTGCCACAAATAAAAATAACACATACATGAAAAACTACGAAGGCACCTAAGCTTTCTCCTATGATGTGAAAATGCGCGAGCATTACAGGCAGAGTTATGTTGGCGCAACTTGCAATAGGAAGCGAGCAAGCCGGCCGTGTCGCTGCGGTCGCCTATTGTTCGCTGCGACCTAGCGGTAGCCGCCGCAGGAGCATCGGGGAGCAATGGCAACGAACAGCACGGCGGGCAGTGTCCCCGTCGTGATTACGAAGGAATTTAAGGCAGTTACGAATTCGGAAGGTTCCTTCGGTAGCCGGTGCCGTCGGCGCAGAATCATCGGGAAGTAAAGCAACGAACACCACAGAGGACAGTGGGCGATTACGAATCCGGAAAGCTTCTTCGGTAGCCGGTGTAGAATCATCGGGGGGGAAGCATGGCGATGAGCAGCACAGCGGACAGTGTTTCCGGGGTGATTACGACGGGGTTTAAGGCGGCTACGAACCCAGAAAGCTTCTTCTGCTGTACCAATATGAAGAAGGGAAAACTCCTTCGTGAATCTGGCCGCGTGTACGACGTGAAGGAGGTCCGTTTCGACGGACAAGCGGATGTCACGGAGCGCCGTACTACGCTAACAAAATTAAGCGCGCCCGCAAAAAATGTAGTTGGCGTTGAGTGGACTGTGGTAATTATGTACGTTTATTTCTGAATCAGCTTGACAATAACTGGGCGATTTTTTTCGCGCCGTTCCGCGATTCCCACTGTAGGCTGATGGAAACATCCAACGGTAGGCTTAGGTGGGCGACCGCATTCCGCTTCTCGATTCCGGTGAAGTATTTGCTGCATACTATAGAGTTTTTCGTCGGTGTCGATGCTGTTCCATCGTCGCTAGAATGGAAAAAAGTTAATTGTATTATTCGTCAGCAGCTTAAGCAAAGCGCGAACTGGAAGGTAAGAAACGCCACTAACCTGTATGGACGCACAAGTCGCACCCAGATCGCGCAGTACTCCGCCTCGTACGGCTTCGTAGGGACGATGTAGTACTACGTGCCGTGCGCGATCTTCGACGTACTGTTGCAGCCGACCACGCAGCAATTTTTGCGGCTTGGTGCGGAATAGCCATCTCAGAAATTATAGCGCTAACCCACTACAACGCACAACCAACGGAGCGACTGGCAGAAGCTCCCCGATGAAATGGACCCGTTTGCCGCTAGGGGCGCCCTGGTCGGGGCTTGAATTAGATGCGCACGGTTCTAAAAAAAAAAAAAGTTATGTCGGCGCAACTAGGCGCAACGAATAGCGCGCTAGTTTCACGATCAAGAGGGCCTAGCTTCGAAACCGGGCAGGGGATGATTTTTTCTCGTGTTCTTTTTTTATTTCGTTTATTTCTTTTTTGTTCGGTCACGTGACAATAAAAATCACATGAACAGAATTTTTTTTTGGCCTCGTCGCCAGAGATTTTTTTATTATTATTATTACTTCTCCTTTTCTTCTGTCTTTTTTTTTTTCCTTTTTTTCGGTTTACGCTCCCTTTTGCAAAGCTCTTTGCACCTATTTCGCGTTACATTAGCGTTAGCCAAATCATTTTATTTATGGTAGGGAATTCTGCCGTACGTATCTTATGTTACTATTACCAGCCCTGGCTTACAATACGCATAGAGAATTTCGTCCGGCAACCAGTTTGGGAATGACGAGGCCAAATTTGTGTTATAATTTTTTTGAGGCACAAGCATAATTTCGGCCTCGTTATCCGTCGGTCTCTATGATTGGCTCTTCAAGTATCTTTTGGGAAGGCAGACGACTCGCATTTTTAGTGTGCACGTGTGTCGACCAGAGTGAACTAGAGTTCCTGTATAGGCTCCC